TTTGCAATTTTGTAGTTGTTTTAGAGTATTGTTTTCTTAAAGTGCCCATAATTTAAAATAACATTTTTGTAATTTTATACACTGTTGTGATGAAGTGCCATTTGTTATATAATTTTTACTTGGATTCGTTCCATTTGCATTTGTTTATGTATTTTCAGGAACATTTCAGTACTGGATATTACAACTAATAATTGCAGAGGAGTAAAAGAAATATATCCAGTGATTTTAAAAAATTCTCAGATAAACAAAAAGCTATTCTTCTAGAGTCTGAATTTAACACAATGACTAAAATGTACCACCTATAACTGAAAGAAAGTATAAATTATTTTAAGTTTTATAATTTTTTAAAGTTTTTAAAATCTCATTTCGTGTTTTATTCACAAATGTCCTCTGTAGAGTAAAATCATATTATACTGAAAAGTTTAATCAAATCGTAGCGGCACTGAAGGGTATCTGGCCTATATGTTGCCACCTGCTGTCTCCCCTTCATAATCAGTGGTGAGGAAATGTCATCCCACCTTGCTTTGAGCATTGGCCTCTGTCCTATAAGCATCCTTTGAGAAAGAGCCTGTGGCTACTGTAATTGAGCGTCTGTTCTCTTGGAAGTAGCAACACACCATGATTACTCACAGGGAGCTGAGCCATTAACCCCTTCTGACTTTACTTACTTAACAAGCTCACATATGGTGTTTACAAGGTACTGTTACGAGGACATTATAGTTACAATCCACTAAGCTTAATAACTGTCCTCAAAAAAGACACCCTTCATAACCTCATATACATGATGGAATGGAAACCCAATGAGGTTAACAAGCTTGCCCAAAGTCACACAGCTAATACCAAGGATGCTGTGTCTTCACCCAAGCAGTCACTCTCTTGAGTCCACTCAGTTAACACTCTGCCTTGGTGCCTCTATGCGCCTAATCACACCCCTCAGGTGCTGCTAAAACCAGACTCCACTGTGTTCTTTTTCTGTCTATGGCTTCGATCTGCCCAGCACTCATGGGATGCTTTTGTTGCAGGGACACTTCTCCTCAGCCTTCAGCTGAACTCTAGCAGGACCACCCATTCAATGCTTAGCTACTTACCAGTGCCACAGGAATGTGTGGGCCTATTTCATGCCATGTGCAATCTATTTGGATGCAGACCCTTGTCTCTGATGCTGTCCTGTTTAAGTGTGTCTTGTCATCACTTCTTTCTGAATGCAGCTACCTTGTTAAGCTTTGTGGACTCCAAAGAGGAACTGGGATAAACTTTCTGTACTTTTGGTCTCACTTCTAATCTACATGAAATGCTACAGCTATGGGGGTTGGGATGTTGGCTGGTGCTAAGACCCTTCATAACAATTAAGGCAGAGTTGTCAGCTGGTATTGTCCCCCGCAGACCTGTCATTTAGGCTTACCTTTTAGGAAGTTCAAGGACTTCACACTCCTTCCTGTGAGGAAGACATAGTCCTTGTATTCAAATCCTTTAAATAATTACTTATGGTAAACTTTGTTCTTGAAGATTTGAAATTTAAAAAACCATTCCTCTATCCAAATGACACATTTTAGAAAAAATATTATTGTTTTCCAGTTGAATCAAAAAATTTAATCACAATCCATAAAATTCTGTCTCTACTAGAAATACAAAAAATAGCCAAGCATGGGGGTACATTTCTGTAATCCCAGCTACTCAGGAGGCTGAGGCAGGAGAATCACTTGAACCTAGGAGGCAGAGATTTCAGTGAGTCGAGATCATGCCACTGCACTACAGCCTGGGTGACAGAGAGAAACTCCATCTCAAAAAAAAAATTAATTAATTAATTACAATTTATAGATGAGCAACTCTCTGCTTTTAGTACTAACCTTCTCTAGGCTTACAATGGTTTTATCTCATGGGTGCAGAAAAGGTAGAATAATGTGTTGGTTTTATATTTCAAATATCTCTATAAAACTCTAATATGTTAGAAATCCGTTTTAAGTATATGCATATGTTATTAGTCACCAAATCTTCTACTTGTAGTTGAAAAGTTTTGGCACAAAGTGAATGGAATATTATTAATTCCGCCAGTGGTCAATAGTTGATGAACACAGATATTGAATGACTCCTTCTAATAAGCAATGACCACCATATTTTCTTGGAATATGGTTTACAGAAGTATTGATAACTGGTAATTCATGGGTATGGGTGGTACAAGACAGTTTCACACTGCAAGAAATTTGGCCTTTTGTGACAAATAAAAGAAGAAAGAAAAGCAAATGACTGCATTCTTAAAAAAATATAGAAGGACAATGGACTAAAGTTTACATTTTTCTACAGTTAAGAGACACATTTTTAGATTAAGTGTTCTAAAACTGGCTTATACATATCATGAGAAAAAGGATCTATTTGACTAAGAAAGAATATAAAATCATAGATTCTACATTGTCAGAACAACTCAGAGACCCGGGTAAGCGACAGCAGAGACAATAGTAGCAACAATTTGATGGCAATTGTCCAAGATCTTGTTTTCCTGTTTAGAGCTTCTCAAAGGCCCCACATGGTATGAATGCTTTATTAACATTTAGACCTCATGAGGTGGCTTCTTTCTATGGGTAAAAACAAAGGCACTCGGGGATTCCAGTTCCACTCACATCTGCAGCTTCTGCTTTTGTCTAAATTTGATATTTTTGACAATCCAGCCTTCAGCAAAAAGCCTCGGCAGCCTGTGTAATTATTAACATGAATGCTGCAAACCTTTTGTACCGTACTTAAGAGATGCCAACCTTCACTGTCAGGAAAATCATGGAAAATTAAATTAGGACAATAGACGGAATAATGGATGTGAGGGAGTGAAATCCCTAAGTGCTTTGGTCATGCTGCTAATGAAGAAACACCACTCCCCCACCTTTCTCTCAGTTGTGAATGTCAGATCTCAGCCATAAAAGTGTACCTTATATGGTATTTTCTTTTTATATAGGCTGCTAACGATTTCCTGAGTGGCTCCTTTAAAGTGGTCTCTTTTGAGACAGTGTTTCAGAACCACTGTTGCATTAACAGAACTACTTCAAAACAGGTAACGTTCAAATTACAACAGAGAGAGAGAAAGAAAAAGAGGAAGATGAAAAGGAAGATATCCGCTCTGTCCTGTATTTATTTGAAGCATTTTTATATGACCCTATATGAAAAACTACACAAAGTGACCCAAACACAACTAGGGTCCTACAAGAACTTATTGTATGAGGCAATATATTGCTGATTCAGTCAAGAGTAAAAACAGAGCTTTCCAAAGAAACGCTGAAGGGAATATTTCATGTAATACTAAATACAGTAATCAAGGTGTACTATATCTCTTCTGCAGCCTGCTTTATTTATTTTCTAATTGTATTTGCGCTTTTATAAAAATTTTATCAATTTCAAATTAATTGTGAAACAGTATAAACAGAAGGGGAAATTTTACAATCTGCTAATTAAGTGTGAATCATCAATGAAAGACAAATGCATTCAATTTGCTGTTGATATTAACTTTTTAAAAAGCTAGCATATGATTAGAGAGTTCAAAGAAAAGAATGCACAGAAATATTTGAGGAAAGGGATAATATTCCTGCCTGAGAAAAACAGAGAACCATCCTACCCATCACCAGCATAAACAGAGTTAACATTATATCCTACTGAGTGTCCTTGCAATCATTTCCAGAAGGTTTGGAAGTACAAGCCCAGCTAACACTCAGCTATGTGTGTCACTTGGTGGGTGGCATAGTGACAGGGGAGAGCACTGAGGGTGGCATCATACTTTATCATCTTGCCCAGTCAAATGCATGCATAGTCTAGAAAAATAGTTCTCAAGTATTGCAAAACAAAAGCCTTCTCTTAGTATGAAATATTTTGTAAAACCTCATTTATTGCACACAGAATTTCAAAATATAACATAGAAAATGTAGGAAAAAGAATAAAAGATTATGTGATTCATAACAAAATAGTTTTATTTGAAACGGCAAGGATGATCACTCTAAAATAACCTAATGAATGATGACTACTCATATATCTACATGCATAGACACACACAGAGACAAGCACATGCACACACAGATATATATATATATATACATTAAGAATCACAATAAAACCTGGTTACAAATCCATAGTGGGTCAGGAATGTAGTGCTGAGAACTGAAGTACTGTGATCATTATTGATGGCAATGATGCAGTTTCCTGAAATTAACCCTAATACTTGGTCATTATAAAAAAAGCAACAAAGCGTATATTCTTTCAAAGTATGTTATAATATTCTACCACACCAATTTTAGTACATAATAAATCTGTAAGAATAATTCATGTTTGAATACAAAACATTTTTTGTTGTTATAGGATTTAAACAGACTTTTCACATAATTGATTAGCTGGGGTGGTGGGAAGTTTTACATTTTGTGAAATAGAGAAAAATTCTTCTCTATGAAAGTTTATCCCAGACATTACAGAATGTCTTACATTCCTGTCTCTGCCCATTAAAAGGTTTTAGCACCTGCCATCTCTCCCTACCTGTAACTTGTGACAAGCAAAACAGTTCCCACAAATCTCCACAATTTTTTGTAGGAAATGCCTTCTTTCTTGTCAAGAATTAATGGTGTAGAAAACTCTACAAAATATTTACCTGGAGTTACATTCTGTGGGTCAACCAATCTGAAATCTATAGTGTGTGGAGATTCTGAGCTACTGGGCAGCTTCTTCAGGTAGCAGATGGTTGCAGTGCATCTCATCTGTAGCTCCAGTCAGTCTCTGAATCCCCTCCATAAATTGGTAAGCATTGTAGTGGGTATCCAAAGCATGCCCTGACTGTGATGTTCAGATTCAGCAGGAAGGCTTATCTGCTGTTAACAGTGCCCAGACTGGAACCCTAGCTGTTCTTTGTTGCTATGTCGTCCTACTTCATGGCACATCTAATGTGTTCTTTGACCTTGTTCTTTAGCTCTCCTATATGCTAATGTTTTAAAACACATTAACATTTCCCCACCTTAGTTAGGAAGAGTGATTCCACTTACTTGGCATCCTCGTTTTGCTTTTCCCTTGGTCCTTTCTTTGATTGATGTGCATCAGTGAAATAAATGCTGTCTAAACTCAGAACCGTGCCAGCTGTGGTCTACCAGATCCAACTCTCTTCTCTTCCCAGTTTCTATTTAATACAACAACACATGAATGAGAAGCATAGTTGGACAATAGTCCCCAGGCTATTAGTAAAGCAGCAAATTCAAAATGGAAAGAGTTACAGTTGTTTCCCTGAGGCTGGACATCTAAAACATGTAACCATTTTTCCTGACAACACAACAAATTTCTCTGGAAATTCCAGGGTCATCATAAGGACACAAATAAAAGTGTAACCACATTGAATCCATCTAAAGCAAAGGATGCTTTCCACAGAATGACTGAATAAGAGGAGTTGTATGTGGTCTCAACATCCACCAGGGACCAGGGAAGTCAAAGAGGGGAGCAGGAGAAATTTCACGTTCTGCACCTCCTGTACTCCACCACCTAGACTTGCATCTTTTTCCCACACTTAGGAAAGGTTTCCATAGGAAGATGCAGTTCATCATTCTTTCCACTACAATATCAGAATACAGGATGCTCTTGCAGAGACGCTCCATATTCCCTTAAAGTATGGCATGGATTTCATGTTCCTAATAGCTTTTTCAAGACAGATTTGCTCTCCCAAGGTACTTCTCTTCATTCACAAAACTGTTAGTTGGTGTCCCCATCCTTGTTGGTCTTTTCTGCATTTTTAAAATTTTCAGATATCTTCAGCTTTTCTCTCTTCTAATAAGAATATTTCTATCAATAGGGACATAAAGGAATTTTAAATTGGACTGATACAAGGGCTGATGCAATCTTGAATTTCACCCCATTACTAACTCAAGTTCTTTCAACTTTAACATCACCCCTGTGCTGCCCAAGATCCAACATATTCTTTTATCACTACATTTCTCTCTATTCAGCAAAAAATTCAAACTTCTCTTCCTGTGGCTCTGGTCTGAGCAAACTACCATCATATGTATTACTAATATTCACCAAAGACAGTATCATTTGTCTTACCACCTGTCCAAGGCAATTTGGATGAAGAAGCTGCTATCAGATTAAAGACTGTTTTCTACCCACTTTGCTCTCTTGCTTAGTTGTCCACCGTCTATTTCTAGTCATTTATCTACTTGCCAAATTGTTGAGCACACAATATTGGCATACCCACCATTTCTCATTGGCCATGGACTCATCTGTATAACTTACCACATTTAACTTCCAGGTCTCTGGTTAAAGTGCATGGTTAACCATGGTTTGACCATGTATGGTTAAAGTCCATGTGTCAAATGCTGGATGATTTAGATTTTATGGCAGAACTTCTTTAAGTTAGGTCTATGACATCACTATTCGGTTCAGGCACAACCATAATGACATCAATACTTTAACATGGCCAGAGAGAATGCCCATTTTCTTCCTTAAATGAACACCAGCAATATACCCATTCCTAGAAGGGGAAAAAATAGCAAGCACAGGCAATCTCCAAATTACTTGACATATCGTCAACACCAAATTTTGAAGGTTGTACAAAAGACTCTTGTATACGACAGGCATGCTGTGTATTTCACCCACATGAGAGCCCTCACATGATAAAGAATTGGAGGTAGTGCTTAAACCCACTTTTACCAGAGCCCTTAAACCCTCTGTGGTTTGGAACTTTAGACAGCCTACCTGAGAGTACCTCTTCAATGTGAGTTAATTCTCTCATGTTTGATTCAAGTAGAGATTTCACTTTACTTGTTAGCTAACATGTTAGTGTGCCATAGCTTACGTATGCTGGCAGAAGGTATAAGGTATCTGGATCAGAGACATAGGACTTATTACTCATGGCACAACAAGCTTTTTGTATGTGTGTGTGTGTGTGTGTGTATGTGTGTGTGTGTGTGTGTATGTGTGTGTGTGTGTGTATGTGTGTGTGTGTGTATGTGTGTGTGTGTGTATGTGTGTGTGTGTGTATGTGTGTGTGTGTGTATGTGTGTGTGTGTATGTGTGTGTGTGTGTATGTGTGTGTGTGTGTGTATGTGTATGTGTGTGTGTGTGTGTGTGTATGTGTGTGTATGTGTGTGTGTGTGTATGTGTGTGTGTGTATGTGTGTGTGTGTATGTGTGTGTGTGTGTATGTGTATGTGTGTGTGTGTATGTGTGTGTGTGTGTATGTGTATGTGTGTGTGTGTGTGTATGTGTGTGTGTGTATGTGTATGTGTGTGTGTGTATGTGTGTGTGTGTGTATGTGTATGTGTGTGTGTGTGTGTGTGTGTGTGTGTGTGTATGTGTATGTGTGTGTGTGTATGTGTGTGTGTGTGTGTGTGTTTCCTATAGACCCTCATGTTTCATGGGGCAATGCGGAGGGACTTATGTGGATGCTGTGCACACAGCAGGTGTTGGAGAACTTACGTCTTTGGGAACATAAATCTTTTTAAATAGCCTTTAAGCCTGCTTGTTCTCTGCGCTAGAAGGAGACATTGTCTTTATTATACTGCACAATAAACATATCTAGTGAGTGTTACAGATGTAGACACTGAAAACATTCCTGAAAAGATAGCTAAGAACAAAGGGCATCAGTGCCTTTTCTAGGGACGTGCAGAAATGTCAGAGATCAAAGGAAACTTGTCTCCCAAAGGATCCTTCTTGCCCTAGTCCTTCAATCATTCCTGCCTGAAGGCAAAGCACCAGCGATTCTGTAAGTAACAGATATCCCTCTGCCCAAATTCCATGCCCCTGAGTATATTCTCATGTGAGTTACTTCAGAAAAGTTTCTCTCTATCATAACCTTAAGTAATAACAAATAACTTCAGAAATGTTTTATACCTGCTAAATGAAATACTATAATTCTACTCCTGCACACACTCTTATTTCTTTAAATATGTATTTTATTCCACTTTAGGTTCTGGGGTATATGTGCAGAACATGCAGGATTGTTACATGGCAATGTGGTTTGCTGCCTCCGTCCCCCTGTCACCTATATCTGGCATTTCTCTCCATGTTATCCCTCCCCAACTTCCCTACACAGGGAAGGCTGTCCCTGCCTTCTTTCCCCCGTATATATGTGTATATATGTGTGTATTTCTTTTCTTTTTTTGAAACTGAATTTCTCTCGTTATCCAGGCTGGAGTGCAATGGCACGATCTTGGCTCACAGCAAACTCCACCTCCTGGGTTCAAGCAATTCTCCTGCCTTAGCCTCCCACGTAGCTGGGACTACAGGCATGTGCCACCATGCCCAGCTAATTTTTGTATTTTTAGTAGAGACGGGTTTCACCATGTTGTCGAGGATGGTCTCGATCTCTTGACCTTGTGATCCACCTGTCTCGAACTCCCAAAGTGCTGGGATTATAGGCATGAGCCACTGTGCCCATATGTGTGTATTTCTTTATTCACTCATTGATTGATGGGCATTTAGGATGGTTTTATATTTTTGCAATTGTGAATTGTCCTGCTATAAACATATGTGTTTATATGTGCAAATATCATTTTTGTATAATGACATTTTTTCCTCTGGGTAGATAACCAGCAATGGGATTGCTAGATCAAATGGTATTTCTACTTGTAGTTCTTTACGGAATTCCCACACTGTTTTCCATGGTGTTTGTACTACTTTACATTTCCACCAGCACTGTAAAGTGTTCCCTTTCCACAGCATTTCCATCAACATCTATTATTTTTAATTTTTTTTTTATTATGGCTGTTCTTTCAGGAGTAAGGTGGTATCACATTGTGGTTTTGATTTGCATTTCCCTGATAATTAGTGATACGGAGAATTTTTTCATATGTTCATTGGTCATTCAAATATCTTCCTTCCAAAATTGTCTATTCATGTCCTTAGCTCACTTTTTGATGGGATTTTTTTTCTTGCTAATTTGAGTTCCTCATAGATTCTGGATATTAGTCCTTTGTCAGGTGTACAGATGATGAAGACTTTCTCCCACTCTGTGGGTTGTCTCCCACTCTGCTGATTTCTTCTTTTGTTGTGCAGAAACTGTTTAATTTAATTAAGTCCCACCTATTTATCATTGTTTTTGTTGCATTTGCTTTTGGGTTCTTGGTGCTAAAAGTCTTTGCCTAAGCCTCTTTGCTAAGCCAATGTCTAGAAGGGTTTTTCTAATGTTACCCTCTAGAATTTTATTGTTTCAGGTCTTTGATTTAAGTTCTTGATCCATCTTGGGTTGATTTACATATAAGGTGAAAGATGAGTATCCAGTTTTATTCTTCTACATGTGGCTTGCCAATTATTCCAGCACCATTTGTTGAATACAGTGCCCTTTTCCCACTTTGTGTTGTGTTTTGTTTTGTTTGTCAAAGATCAGTTGGCTGTAAGTATTTGAGTTTATTTCTAGGTTCTCTATGCTGCATTCCATTGGTCTATTTGCCTATTATTATACCATTACCATGCTGTTTGGGTGACTATAGCCTTATAGCATAGTTTGAAGTCTGGTAATATGATGCTTCCAGATTTGTTCTTTATTCTTAGTCTTGCTTTGGCTATACAGGCCTTTTTTTTTCATTCCATATGAATTATACGATTGTCTTTTCTAGTTCTGTGAAGAATGATGGTGGCATTTTAATGGGGATTGCACTGAATTTGTAGATTGTTCTTGGCAGGATGGTCATTTTCACAATATTTATTCTACTCATCCATGAACACGTGGTGTGTTTTCATTTGTTTGTGTCATCTGTGATTTCTTTCAGCTGTGTTTTGTAGATTTTCTTGTCGAGGTCTCTCACCTCCTTGGCTAGATATATTCCTAAGTATTTTATTTTATGTTTTTGCATCTGGTGTAACAGGGGTTTGTGCTTTATTTGACTCTTGGTGTGGTCACTGTTGGTGTATAGCAGAGTACGGACTTGTGTACATTAATTTTGTGTCCTGAAACACTGCTGAATTCCTTTATCAGTTCTTGGAGCTTTTGAGAGGAGTCATTAGGGTTTTCTAGGTCTACTACCATATCATCAGCAAACAGCTACAGTTTGACTTCTTCTTTACTGATTTGAATCTCTATTTCTTTCTTTGTCTGATTGCCCTGGTTGGGCATTCAGTACTACGTTGAATAGAAGTGCTGAGAGTGGACATCCTTATGCTGTTCCAGTTCTCAAATAGAATGCTGGGATAGTTTATCATACACAAATCAACAAATGTTGTACACAACATGAACAGAATTAAGAACAAAAATCACATGATTATCTCAATAGACTAAAAAAGAGTATTTGACAAAATCCAGCATTCCTTCATGATTAAAAGCTTCAAAAAAGTTGGCATAGAAAGGACATGACTTAATGTAATAAGAGTCATTCATGACAAACCCACAGCCAACATAATTAACATAATTCCGAATGGGAAAAAATTGAACAACTCTTATCCTCTGAAAAAAGACTTGAAAAATGCAAGTTACCAAAATTAAAACAAGAAATTGATTATATTTATATACCTATAGCTATTGAAAAATATACTTCCTAATCAAAATCATTCCCACCATTACAATTCAACACCCAGATGGATTCACCGGTGAAATTTCTTAATCATTTAAAAAAATGTAATACCAATTCTATAAAAACATTTTCAGAAAAAATTGAAGGAGGTATGAAAGCCAGGCAAACCCTTATACTAAAGAAGAATAAAAGAAATGAGCTATTGTGGAAGGAAAAGAGGAAGGGTAGGAGAGAGGATGAATCACAACTAAGATGACTAAGTGGGCTTATCTCATAAATTAAAGATTGCTTTATTTTTGAAATCAATCAGTGAAATTCAATACTATAAGAGGATAAAGGATAAGATATTTCTAGTGACATAGAAAAAGTCATTGACAAAATTCCACATCTTTCATGAGAAAAACTCAGAAAACTGGGAATACAAAATAACTTCCTTAATTATTTAAAGACTATCTACAGAAATATCATATAGCTAATATCCTGCTAAATGGTACAATATCACTACAAAGTAAAAACGTTTGCTCTCACTAATCATGTTCAGCATGATACTCAAAGTAGTAGCTAGTGCAATAATGCACAAACATAAAATTAATTACATAAACACTGGAATGTAAAAAAATAAAATTATTTATTCTTATATGGAATTAGTAACTATTTAGAAAATCTAAATAAATCTACAAATAAAATTACCATAATAAGTTAACTTAAGAAGATGACAAAGTAATATAATATTTTATCTATAGTTTTAAATACTAACATAGAAAATATACTCAAGACCTATTAGACATACTCATTTTACTCAAGAGAAGTTAAACATAGATTAATAATAGCAACAATTTTGTAACAACCCAAATATCCAAGAACAGGAAAAGA